TTCCTTTAGTTGGTTCACCCTGTTTTGGATTGGTTGGGAAGGAGTGATCCCTTTGTGCTGGCCAATAAAGAAAAACCTTTGGGATAGCAGATTGGAGGTGAAGGATTAATATTAATTCCTGCTCTCAGGAAATATCAGTGGCTATCTTGGGCAGAAACACATGGCAAACAGATGTAGCCTGAAAGATGACTCTTTGTATTGCAGGCTCTAACTGATGATCATTCCTCAGCCCTAAAGATAACAGACTCTTGACTGATAAGACAATGGAAGCTATAAGAATGGTGGATTATCTAGAGGTTTTAACGAGTCATATCACAGAGCCAGGTGTTCTCACCCATGTGGTCAGAGAGTAAAATTTCTGGACGTTTTCACATTCCTGGCTCCAGCTTTGGAGAAGTGGCACCTCAACTTCTAACAATGTTGAGACGGTGCAGAGAGCCTCAAGGATAGTAAGTACATGGCTAAAGGATGAGAGATGCTGAGGGCTGCAATTTAACGGCTGGATTTGGAGTAAGGAAAGCCTGAGTTCAAATGGTATCTCAGACATTTACTTAGCTCTGTGATCCTGGGCAAGCCACTTAACCTTTCAGTCTGTTTCTTTGTCTGTAAAATAAGGACACTAGTACAACCTACTTCACAGGGTTCCTGTGAGGAGTGAATAAAGTTTCTATGTGTTGTATATGTGTGTGTGCACATATATACACACATATGTTTGTAAAACTTGTACTATATCAATGTAAGCTGTTGATATTATTATCAATATTGATAATGATCATGATTATCTTCTCTTCATCTCCATTCTCCTTCTACAGAATTTTCAAGTTAGTAAGCTTTGGAATCTAACCTTCTAGCAAAGAAAGTATGTGGGGTGTGTGTGTGTGTGTGTGTGTGTGTGTGTGTGTGTGTGTGTGTGAGAAACAGAGAGACAGAGACAGAGAAAGACAGAGAGAGAGAGAGATAATGTATGGGGAATAGGGAATGGAGAAGGAGGGAGGGGAAATTGTTTGGTTTTACTGAGCCAATTATTCCCAGAATCTATTTAATGTGTGTTTGGATAGGGTGGAGGCATAGCTTCCAAGAAAAAGAGTTTATATGGCTTGCATGCAGATGTGAGTTCACTATACTCCAGTAGCCTAATTCTGTAGCCATAAAGCTGATCTCCTATCAGCTTTTCAGTCTTTTCCTAACTTTGGAATAAGACTTTCCTTCTCGCAGGTATAACACACAATGGACAGACAGGAAACCAGAGAAGGGAATGAAAAGCAGTTTTCTTTGGTGGACATATTTTTAATTGCCTCTAAGAAATAATAGAGAAAGGAATTCTACCCACTGTATGAAAAAAATAGCACTGAAAATAATTTCTCATTTTTCTTCTTCCTGTTTTCAAAACTAAATGCAAGAACAGCTTCAATTTTAAATAGGTACCTGGAGGCTACTGGATTTTTCACCCTTAATTCTAACAAGTATTTCCTTGGTAGTTATTGTAAAAAAATCACTCAATTTCTCTGCCTCAGTTTCTCAATGTACAAAAATAGGGCTAACTGGTTTCCCTGGAATCTTTTTGGGAGCTAGTTTATACTGACAAAGTGCTCAGAATGTGAAAAGTGCTCTTTAAAATCTAAATGTTGTTAATCTGAGTAAACCAGATTTAGCTATTCTGTTCTGTCTCCTGAACTTCTATAAACAAATTGCCAAAGGAGGTTTCTGGGATTCCTGAGCCCTTTCTGGATTACAGTATCATGGAAAAGTGTTTATTTCATATAAACAGCCTGATTTTCTAATCATTAATAAGCTTTAAATTTTCAGTTAATCAACAAAAGCATTTATTAAGCACCTGGTGTTCCTAGTATGTGCCATACACATGCACATTGCCATGCAGCTTGGTGCTGGAGAATAAATACAAAAAACAAGACAGATCCTGCCCTCAAGAAGTGTTTATTATACTGGGAAGGCATCGGGTACATTCTGCACAAAGGTACAAATATAGAAGGTCAAATGTTATGTATAGAGAATAGCAAATCAGCCAATTTGGCAGAACCACAGTTCACATAAATCAGACTTTCACTATTATTGATATTGGATATTGATATATGAGAATTTTTTTTGCTTTGTTATAAAAATAAGACTTAAACAAGTAATTTTTACCTAGAAGAAATGTGGGAGAATACTAATTATGGTCTCTTATGTATCTTCTTTTCTTCTCTATTCGGAACTAGATCTGTGTTATTTGTAGCTTCAGCATAACATAATTAATAATTTTTAAAAATTAACCAACAGGCAAGCAAGAGTGTGACCATTTGAAGTAGTATGTTCTCTCCATCTCCTGCAGATTTTCAGAAGACATGCGTTATTTACAGTAGCAGTTTATGAAATATTCAGCCATTACATCACACATTATGTGCTCTTCACATTCGCAAAGATACTGCTTGAACACCGGAATAAATGCAAAGATTGTGCTTTTGGCTCCACCGTGGAGCTAAGATAAGTAACTGCAAGCTGAGTTTTGCTACACATTGCATAATAGGATTTCTATATGAAGCAGTTGCTAGGCTTTCAAATTGATCTTTTGAGGTTTTTTCCTACCCTTCTCCCCTATTTGTTGAAGTTCGTAAGTATTTACTATAATAGGTAGTCATTACACATTTTCAAAGCATGAAAGTCTTATACCTTGAAATAGATAAACACATATATTTAAATAATCAAAAGCTATAAATGTCATTTGAAAGTTAATGTGTTTTTGATGTTTTAATTGGAAAACATAAACCAGTTGGAGGAAACATCATCAGTAGGCCATCTTGCAGAAAAGCAGTTTCTTTTTAATTCAGGCTTAAGAAAGTAATTTGGTGCCACACATATTTGTCTGAGAGTCATCTACAATTTTAAAATGCATTCTTTAATTTCTAGAGTTATTCTCAATTAATGTGTATTGTTCATTATAAAAAGAATATTTCCCAAATATGTCTTCTGAGGAAAAATATAGATGAAAGCTATTTGAGTCACTATATGTTTCAACCATGAAAACTTCCTAGTATACTAATTTAAAGAAATATGCTTGCAGTTCTGTCTACACAAGAAATATATGTCTACTATCAATAGGCTATGACCTGGATTACTCAATTTTAAAAATAACAATAACACCACCAACAACAACAATAAAAACCCTCCATTTTTTTCAATACTAGTGGAAGGCATTTTACTAGAATTATTGAGATAATTCATTTTGTTTTACTTGTTCAGATGGAAACCAGTTCAGGTCACAACTACAATTAACTGACTAGGTTATAGGTGGTACAACAGATCATAGCAATCATTTTGCAAGATGGTTGAGTTTTCTTAGCCCTCTATAGTTAGTGTGTGTATGTGCACATGAGTACATATAGAAACATGTATCCAAACATTTAAGACATTTACTAACACCTACGTGTTTTGTGTCCTGTAGAGACAAAACACTCCCACAATTGTCCAGAAGTTCTCATCCTGATGCTGGACATTGTTGTTAACATATTGGGAAAGGAAATTCAGGAGCACTACAGCAGTCAGGAGGGAGTAGGCTCAGTCTACTGAGTTGGTGTCACTACCTATGGCATTGCTCAATGAAGCCATAGGTATTTGAAGAAAGAAGCAATGATCTTTTAACCGTTTCCTTTATGATGATGTAGATATGGTAATAAAGTGTGAAGTGAACAAAGAAAAGGGTCTAATAGGAGCTTTAGCCAGAAAAATAGTGCCTGGGTAAATGGGAAGGCTGGAATGCTATGGATACCTCCTCCCCACTCCCTTCTGTGACTCACTCTCTTTTCTTTGGACATTTGTCTTTTAGGAAGAGAAAGCAACCAGGAATTTCCTCTCTGTAGTATACTCTCAGTGTTTCTTTGTATACGTAACTAAGCTCACAATTCATCTGTGGTTTCAGCATGTGAAATAAGCACAGAAACCTGTTTGTTGATTAGCTGCTTGTTTGTCATTAGGTTTCCTTTCTGAAGAAGACAGTGTAGTTTGCCAGAGAGGAAATAAAAAGAATGAATGCTTGAATGAAAATGCATTTATTAAACACTTACTGTGTGCAAAGAAATGTGCTAGGTGCTGGGGATAAAAAAAAGAAAAGTAATATAGTACCTACTTTAATATCGCTAACCTTTAAATAGAAGGAGACAATGCCATCATCATCATCATCACCCACATGGATAATCATTACACTGCAATTGATGAGCCACTTAACTAAATGGAAAGACATAATTTGTATACGTGGAGCTTACAAACATAAATTAACTTTATACATATAGCTAGAATCCAACAGCATTCATACTGACCTCTTTAGCAATTGAAAAATGTATTTAATGAATGCAATAGTATAACAATGACTTCACAACTCTGTCTCTCTTCATATTAAAGTATAAATTAAGACTATTAGTATTATGATATTTTAACTTACTCAAATTATGGCTCAGGGATAACTTGTATAAAGTGATATAGAGTGAATAAAGCAAGAGAACAAGAAACCCAATAACTACAATGTAAACAAAGCTAACACCTAAAAAGCAACAAAAATTGTATTAATTGCAGTGAGCAATCTTGTTTTTGAAGAATAGATTGGGAGTCATTTTTGGTGAAGATGTGAGGGACTAAGCATGGAAAATTTTGCCTATAATGTCAGATGCAGTTCATCTGCAATTTTTTGTTATTTTTTTTTTATTTCAGAGATATTATCATATGTAAATTTGTAACGAAGAATGTACAAATAATTTTTTGCCAATATTGTGAAATGATTGTGCAGTAACAAAGGCACAAATAAAACTTTAATGTATATGCATGTGTATTGCCTGGGACAAGTTACATTAGTGGTGTCAAATTCAAATAGAAATGAGATCCCTTAATACATATGTAAAGATCCATCTGGGTTTCATATTGTCTTAGTTTTAAAATGTAATACTTTCTATACTTTGTTTTTATTTTGTTAAACAAATTTTTTTTAAATTTCACAATTGAATTTTAATTTGATTTAGGCTATCCTCCTTGGTCATAAAGTCCATAGGCTGTGTGTTTAACAACTTTAATTTAACCAATTTGGGATGGCATGAAAAGGTAAGTTGGGATATCCCCAGTAAATGCTCCATCCGTTAGTTAATGTGAAAGCTCCTAAATATGTGTCCCCTGTTGAGAAAAGTTATAGGCCTTTGTCAGAGAACCTTATGATTCCCTTATGAATCGCTTTCTTATTGTCTCTTACAGCCCTCTACACTTGTTGTCCGTACAATATATCCTCAAAATCAAAAGCAAGAGAGCTGCCCAGGTGCCAGAAAAGAACAACATATAGTGATAACTCTGAAGGGGATCCCAATCATTTTCTTTTGAGAAAGCAAGGTGTAACAGATTTGGAGTTACAAAACTTTTCTTTGAGTACCAGCTAACACCACTGAGCCTTAGTTCTTAGCTATTTTTTTTTCATGTTGTGAAAAAGTAAGTATATTTCCCTTCATCCTATCTTACCCCCCATTTATTCTGTTCTCTCTTTTGACCCTGTCCCTCCTCACAAATGTTTGCTTCTGATTATCCCCTCCCTTCTATCAACCCCCTGCTCTCTTGTACCCTTCCCCCCTTATTTTCCTGTAGGGTAAGATATATTTCCATACTTGATTGTATATGTTATTCCCTCCTTAAGCCAAATCCTAAGAGAATAAGATTCACTTATTTCCTCTCACTTTCCCCCCTTTCCCCTCCACTGTAAAAGCCTTTTCTTGTCTGTTTCATGTGAGATAATTTCCCCATTCTACTTCTCCCTTTCTCCTTCTCTCAGTATAATACTCTTTCATCCCTTAATTGTATTTTCCAGATATCACCCCCTCATCTTCAATTCATCCTGTGCCATCTATCTATCTATCTATCTATCTATCTATCTATCTATACATACACACATATAATTTTTTTCCTTCCCACTACTCTAATACTGACAAAGGACTCATGAGTTACAAATATCATCTTTCCGTGCAGGAATATAAACAGTTCAACGTTAATAAGTCTCTTATGATTTCTCTTTTCTGTTTACCTCTTCCATGTTTCACTTGAGTCTTGTATTTGAAAGTCAAATTTTATATTCAGCTCTGGTCTTTTCTCAGGAATGCTTCAAAGTCCCCTATTTCATTGAATGACCATTTTTCACCCTGAAGGATTATACTCAGTTTTGCTGGGTAGGTGATTCTTGGTTGTAATCCTAGTTCCTTTGCCCTCCAGAATATCATACTCCATGCCCTCAGGTCCCTTAATGTATAAGCTGCTAAATCTTGTGTTATTCTGATTGTGTTTCCACAATACTTGAATTGTTTCTTTCTGGCTGCCTGCAATATTTTCTCCTTGACCTGGGAATTCTGGAATTTGGCTAAAATATTCCTAGGAGTTTTCCTTTGGTGATCTCTTTGAGAAGGAAATCGGTGGATTCTTTCAATTTCTACTTTGCCCTCTGGTTCCAAAATATCAGGACAGTTTTCATTGATAATTTCTTGGAAGATGATGGCTTTCAGATAGTCCAATAGTTTTTAAGTTCTCTCTCCTGGATCCATTTTCCAGATCAGTTGTTTTTCCAATGAGATATTTCACATTCTCTTATATTTTTTTTTTCATTCTTTTGGATTAGTTTCACAGTGTCTTGATTTCTCATAAAGTCACTAGCTTGCAATTGTTCCTTTCTAATTTTTAAGGGAGTACTTTCTTCAGTAATCTTTTGGACTTCCTTTTCCATCTGGCCATTTTTGCTCTTCAGGGCATTCTTCTCCTCATTGGGTTTTTGGACCTCTTTTGCCGTTTGGTTTAGGCTATTTTTAAAGGTGTTGTTTTCTTCAGTATTTTTTGGGGTCTCTTTTAGCATCACTTTCAGTTTTTCCTCTACTTCTCTTACTTGCTTCTCAAAATCCTTTCTGAGCTCTTCCATGGCGTAGGACCAATTCATATTTTTCTTGGAGGCTTTGGATGCAGGAGCTTTGACCTCATTGTTTTCTTCTGGTTGTATGTTTTGATCTTCTTTGTCACCAAAGTAAGATAATGTAGTCTGACTCGTTTTGTGCTGCTTGTTCACGATGCCAGCTAATTACTTGAGACTTTTCCCACTGACATTCTATTATTTTTTCTTTTTTTTTCTTTTTTTTTGAATTTTATTTTATTAATTTATTTTGATTTATCAACAATCACTTCCATATGCTTTTGAGTTTAAAATTTTTTCTCTCCCTTCCTCCCCACCAGCCTCCCCAAGAAGTCGCACAATCTGATATATGCTATACATTTACATTCTTATTAAACATATTTTCGCATTAGTGAAGTTGTAAGTAAAAATTCTCACTTCTGTTTTGCTTTTGACCACCACCTCCCTCCCTTTCCCTTTTCTTCCCCTTTAGCCTTACTGCTTCTTCCCTCCCTTCTATCCCCACTCCCTTTTCTTTCCGCTTTTCCCTCCTACTGCCTATAGGGCAAGTTAGATTTCTATACCTAACTGATTATGTTATTCCCTTCTTGAGCCAAATCTGATGAGAGTAGAGTTCAAACAATGCTCACCCCCCTACCTTCTTTCCCTCTGCTGTAATAGGATTTTGTGTCTTTTCCTGTAATGTAATTTACCCTTGTCTTCCTCTTCCTTTCTCAGTACATTTTCTAAAATCAGGCTGATCCACCTACTTGGATCCATTTAACTCACTTGATTAGATTTTTTTTTATCATTACATCAAAGTCAACTTATATCCACCCCCTTTATGTATAATCCTTTAACATGGTGTAATAAAATACAGTTCTCAAGAGTTGCAAGTGTCATCTTCCCTTGTACGGATGTAAACAGTCCACCCTTATTAACAACATATTGTATCTTTTTGTCCCATTTACCTTTTCATGTCTTTCTTGAATCTTGTACTTGAAAATCAAATTTTTTGTTGAGCTCTGGTCTTTTTATCAGGATGGCTTGGCAGTCCTCTATTTCATCGAATATCCATCTCCTCCCTTGAAAAATATTGCTCATTTTTGCAGAGTAGTTGATCCTTGGCTATAATCCAAGCTCCTTTGCCTTACAGAATATCATGTTCCATGCCCTTCAGTCTTTTAATGTAGAAGCTACAAGGTCCTGTGTAGCCCTGACTGTGGTTCCATGATATTTAAATTGTTTCTTTCTGGCTACTTGCAGTGCCTTCTGTTTCATCTGGTAATTTTGAAATTTTGCTATTATATTCCTTGGCCTTGTCAATTTGGGATCTCTTTGAGGTGATGACCGGTGTATTCTTTCTATGGTTATTTTACCTTTTGATTCTAGGACTTCAGGGCAGTTTTCCTTTATGATTTCCTGAAAGATACTGTCCAGGCTTTTTTTTTTTCATCATGATTTTCAGGTAGTCCAATAATTTTTCAGTTTTCTCTTCTGCATTGATTTTCCAGGTCTGTTGTTTTACAGATGAGGTATTTTATGTTTTCATCTGTTTTTTCATTTTTTTTTTGTTTCTGTTTGACTGATTTTTGCTCTCTCACAGAGTCATTAGTTTCCATTTGTCCAATTCTAGTTTTTAACAGATTGTTTTCTTCTGTTAGTTTTTGTGCTTCCTTCTCCAATTGGCCAATTATATTTTTAAGGGATTTGTTTTCTTCAGTGTACTTTTTTTCCAGTTTGCCAATTGTGTTTTTTAGGGACTTGTTTTCTTCAGTGTACTTTTTTTCCAATTGGCCAATTGTATTTTTTAAGGACTCTTCTACCTCTCTCATTAGACTTTTAAAAATCCTTCTTGAGCTCTTCTAAGAAGGCTTTTTGGGCTTCAGACCAGTTCATATTCCCTTTTGATGTTGCAGATGTGGGTTTGTTGACAATGTTGTCCTCTTCAGAATTTCTGTCTTGATCTTCACTCTTCTCATAATATGAATCTATGGTACATTTCTTTTTCTCATGATTTCTTTATTCCCTGGCCTTTAAAGAGATTGAGCTCTCCTGCTGGGGAAAAGATGGCAGTGACCCAAGGTTCTTGTGTTGGGAGGCTAGTTCTTGGTCACTGGCTTTGTGTGCTGGGGCCTCTTATGTTGGCAATTGGAGGCTGTAGGTTTGGCAGCTTACCTTGTTGGGCTGGAATCAGCAGGGCTGGAACTTTCAGGCAATTTCTGGTTGCCTACTTTTCCTTTCTTTTAGCTTTCTTAAGCTCCTTTTAGATGGGTGCTGCAGGGTGTTTATCTGCCTGGGGCCCCTTGCAATGCTGCCTCCCTTGTTTCCGCTAATGCACTGGGAGGTTCCTTTGTGGCAGAGTGCTGAAGCATCTGGTGGTTTTCTGAGCTGGTTTCCACCAGTTCTCCCACCCTCACTGAGGCTGTCAGAGGTCCAGGTGTTGATGTTTGCCTGCTCTACCACCTGGTTGACAGTTGGAGGCTGTAGGGTTCTGACAGCTTACCTGGTGTTGGGTTGGAATCAGCAAGGCTGGGACTTTAGGAAGACTTTAGGTTGCTTTCTTCAGCTCCTTTCAGATAAATTCCACAGGGTGCTTATCACCCTGGGGCCATTTGTAGTACTGCTTCCCTTAGTTTTGCTGAGGCACTTATTTTGCTGGCCTGTTGAACTGCTATTCCCCATCTTTCTTCTAGTTCAGCTGTTTCAGGGTTTTTTTTTTTCTGGTATCATATTTTCTGTGTTTCCAAAGGTTCTCCCACTTACCTTCTAAAGTGTCTTTGGCGTTCATGCTTTGAAAAGTTTAGAAACTGCCACAGTTGCCTGCGATTCAGTCCTCTGAAGCATGCTCCTGCATTCCTCTCCCAGCCTGGGATGACATACCTTTCTGATCAACCATCCAGGTTGTCTTGGGATGGAAATTTGTTTCACTTTATCTTTCTGTGGGTTCTGCTGCTTTAGAATTTGTTTAGAGCCATTTTTATAGGTTTTTGGAGGTTTTGGGGGGAGAGCTCAGGCAAGTCACTGCTTTTACTCCACCATCTTGGCTTTGCCCTTAGTTCTTCTTATCTATAACATAAGGTTAAACATTCTTGTCTTACCTTCTTACAATGTTCTTGCGAGGCAAGCATTTTTCAAATGGAAAAAAAAGTGTAAATGTAAGTTATTATCAGTGTAAAGAATTTCAGTATAGAAAGATAGTTTGCTTTCTTAAATAACATTGATCCCCTCTTCTACCTCATTTTCTAAAACCGTGAAGGGTGATATATGGAATAGTGTGTGTGTGTGTGTGTGTGTGTGTGTGTGTGTGTGTGTGTGTGTGTGTGAGAGAGAGAGAGAGAGAGAGAGAGAGAGAGAGAGAGAGAGAGAGAGACAGAGAGAGAGACAGAGACAGATAGGGAGAAAGAGAGAGAGAGAGAGAGAGAGAGAGAGAGAGAGGAGAGAGAGAGAGGAGAGAGAGAGATGGATGCATTATTATCAATATTTGAGAGTAACTAGAAATCTTAAAGCTACCATCCCATAGAACTTGAATTTGTAGAATGGTTTTGGAGAACAATCTTGCAGTATACAATACTCACAAACATAATCGTATTTCCTGACCCTGAAATCTCATTATGAGGTAGTATCATAAAGGAAAAGAAAAAAAATATGATTTTTTTTTTGCAGATGGGGTTAAGAGAAGCATTATTTGTAATTACAAAGAACATAGAAACAATTTAAATATCCAACAGTTGGTGAACAGCTGAATAAAGCGTGATGCATCAATTAAAAAAACCTGCAATCTGATGAAGAAATTTGGAGAGAATTATAGGAAATAATGTGAAGTATAAAAAGTAAAACCTGAAAAACAATGAGCATCCAGACTACTACTATAAAGAAGGAAAATGTATACACAAATGTGTAAACAGAAAAAAAAGTAGGGAAATAGAGTAGATAACTAGTACTGTATGATGGGCATTGTATAATCAGGATTTCACTTTCAACTGTAAATGTATCTTTATTTGGTTTTCTTATTCGTTACAGTTAATTTCATTGTAAAGTATATGAGTAAATGGATAGCTAAATGGAAAGCTTCCATAATTGAATATACCCAAAAATACTATCTAAGGAAGTAAACAAAAACTTGTGGGCTGCAGACTTTATTTATTTGCTTATTAACTAATTAATAATCATTTTTAGTTGAAAATAATATAATCCATACTTTTCACTGAACAAGAGCAGTGCTACCCAGACTCAGGATAGGGAGGGGAAGATATTATTTTTTTTCCCTTTTCATCAATATAAATGCCCTTTTGCAGAGACATCTTTGAGTGCATGTGATTGTTATTCATGGAAACTGTCAGTATTCTTAAGTCCTCCTAGAAACATGAAAGGTGAGTGACAGATAAGGAATCATTATCTTGGCAAGGTAGATCTTAGCTGGTAAAAAGTCAAGCTAAAAGGAAATCTGAAATAAAAGAGTAAGAATAGGACTATTTTTGATGATGTATTCTTACACATGTACTGCATCTAATTTATAATGTTTTATTTTGTGATAACTCTGTCGTGGCCATATATAAACATTGCCTCGAAATACCTGTGAAAAAAAGGCATCTAAAGGTTATGTAGTCATTGGACTATTCAAAAACATGTGAAGTTTTAACATCTTTTCAAACTAAAAATAACAAATAAATTCTAGATTTTTTTTTCATCTTCTAATCCGTATGATTTGGTATCATTACTATTAATTCAATCTCTTACATTGATGTACTGGTCAGAATTGGAGATAACTTTCCACAATGTTCCCAACTCCAATTTTCCCTCACCCACCACCTAATCATGTTTTCTATTTTGCCCGCTTTGAATCACTATTATTATCACCAACACCACCATTATCATCATCAACATCATCATCATCTTCACCATTGTCATATTTGGTAGAGTTCAAACAGAAATAGTTCAAGGACATTTTTATATTCTTTCAGACTATTTAAAGATGGATATTATTACTGATTTTTGTGATTAAATAATATTGGTATATAAACTTATCTTTGGTAGGTTCACTAAAATCCTGTTCAGTATAACTCCAATGGCAGGCAGGATTCTGGGTATCACATGTACTTCACTGCTTTACTGCAGGATGGGTTTGTTTGTTTTTCCTCAGTAAGTGTCTGTATCTTGAGAACTCTTCATTCCATATAATTTGATGATCTTACATTCCAGTGGGGAAGCAATATGTGCACATTTAAGTAAATATAAAATAAATGCAAATGAATGGCATGGAGTCTGATGTGTATGTGTATCCATAAATATTCAATAGAAGGATAGCCATTAAAACTGTTACTGAATTTTTCTCTCTATCATTGTCAATTATATCTCTACATTGTTTCTCACACATATCCCCTTTCTACTCATACAGTCACCATCCTAATTCAGGTCCTTATCATCCCTCCTTTGGCAAAGTGGCTGACACATAATAAATACTTATTAAGTTTTATTGATTGAGTGATCTTGTATAGACTACTGTAGTAGCCTTCTAACTGTTCTACCTGCCTCTAATCTCTCTCTTCTCCAGTACTTCTTCTACACACTTATCAAACTTATATTCCAATACCACAGATTTAATGATGTCGCTCCTCCTAGCTCAATAAACTCCAGTGGCTCCTTCTTACTAGGTTTAATTATAAACTCCCAAGTTTGGCTTTTGAATCTTCTTTTAAGTTTATTATAGCTTACTTTAAAAGGCAAGTATATAGGGCCTATTATGAGTACCCAGGCATACTCTAATGTCTAAAAAAAAAAAGTGGTTTTGCATTTTAATTTAATTGAATTATATCAGTTTAAAATAGGGATTGTTTTATCTAATAAGTGCCTAGCTGAATGATAAATTTAGGAACTTATAGAAAACCAATGTTCACTAACAACATCTATTTCCATTAGGAGCCCATGATGGGTTGGGGTGGGAGGAAGGACAAGGTCCAGGGGGTCATTGCATGAGGTCATAGACTATTCAATCAAAATTAAATTTAAAAATAAATTTAGTTAAATTTGGTTTATTTAGTTTAATTGGAATAGAAATAATATCTCGTAATATTTAGCATTTAATAGATGTTTGTCTTTTAAAAATTAAGAAATAAAATGTCATATGTACACACTCACTTAAAAAACCATGCTGATGTGGGCTTATACATACTGAGCAGACTTATTAATATATTACTCTTTTTTACGCCCTTTATATTCCAGCCCAACTCACCTTCCTGTTCTTTTCTGGACCTTTTTAGGAGCTATTGCTGATGTCTAGAGAATGTCCTCACCTCTACTTCATAAAATTCCTAGTTTCTTTCAAAACTCAGACCAAATGCTACCTCCTGCACAAAGCTAATCCTCATCTCTGCAGATGAGGATTAGCTCCAACTCAGAAAGTACTTTGTCCTCCAACTTAGAAATTACTTTGTTCATTTTGTATGTATATGTGTTTTCTCCCAATAGAAGGTAAGCTCTTGGTGGGCTAGAGTGCTTTACTTTTTGTATTTTAAACCCTACTATGTAACACATTTCCAGGCACATAGTAGCCTAATAAATACTTATTGAACAATTATGATTGTGACTATCTTGTTCTTACATCTTTTTTATTGTAGAGAGAAAATGACAAGTCATGATCCTGCCATTGTTATTTTGCATTTAATGCTCTGCTTACTGTTATATAGGGAGGTAAAATGACTGATTCTTTTAATTGAAAAAGAGTATTGGGATATAAACTAATCTTCTGTACATGAACTAAAATATCTCCTGTTCAATTCATAGCAGAAATTACAACAGGAATACTATTAAACTCATTCAGCCTTTGTATGGCTTTAATTTCTTCTTATAGATCTTTATATCTTCAGAGATTTCTATGGCATGCAGTTTGGAAATCATGAATATCCTTTCTGGTGACAAATGTTAAAAAAAAAGAATCATTGTTCTTGAATTTGCACAGATCAATATTGTATCTGGATGGTTGTGGACATTTTTTCTTTAATAAGATTTGATTTAATTTAAAATAAATGTTATTGATACTTTTTTTGCATCATCTACATTTATCCCTTTATTTTCCCCTTCCCCTTTCCAGAGAGCCATCCCTTATGACAATGAATATTTTTAAATGAAAAAAAGAGAAAAAAAGGAAGAACAGTGGGGTAGAGAATCAACAAAAATAATCAATACATCAAAAAAAATCTTAAAATAAATGTAATGTTATACATCCATGGATGTCCCACCTGTACAAATGAGGCAATTATTGTGTATCGTGTTTTCTTGGTTCAGCCTTTTCACTCTGTATCAGTCCATGTAAGTTTTTCATTCTTTTTCTTATTATTGCATTTGCCATTTCTTACAGCCCAGTAATGTTCCATTATATTCATGTACATGTTGAAATTGTATATTATTATGATCCCCATGACTACCCCACCAGTTAGTTTAATAAGTATGTAAGTAACCAGTGAAAGGATAAGAGTTAAGAGTGTAGGGGGAGCATGGAAGCCACCTGCCAAAATTGCCTCCTAAATTAAGGCCACATCCAGAGACTTTATGCTAAATTAAATGAAGCCAACTAGGCCCCTGTAAATGGCTCTCAGTTTGCAAGCTGCAGATGAGTATTAGACAACCAGAGGAACAATATATTAATAAGGCAACCATAAGGAAGCATTAATAAATTTGAGATGACATTGATGACACTGAGTCATCCCTAAAGTGGTACAGATAAGGCTTAGCCCCTGCAGACACTAGAACCCTATAAGAATGGAACCCCAAAACCTTCCCCCTCAAGCTCTTCTCCAACTGCTATGGGTCTGCCCTGCCTAGGTGCTCCTAACTCCTATCCACAGATACAAAAGTGACTCTCTGTGCCCCTTTTCTTCCCGTCTACTTCCCTCTCCCACCACATTTCCTGTACCAACCCTTCACAGCTGCCTCTTTACTCTCTGTGCCTTATTCAAATGTGATTGATGCATTCACAGGTTGCATCCCCAGCAACTATCCAGAGAATGACACTTGCTTGTCATGACCCAATTGGACCACCCTCGTGATCATTTTCCTTAAAGCATAAACCAGACACTTGGGCTGGGACTTAATTTGATACCACCTGCATGTGTGAACATGGTGCCACGAACTGACTAATAGAAAACAGGATAGTTGACAAAGTAAGCCCATGTCCCTCTGGATAGGGAACTTCCCTTATACCTGGACTTAATAGAACAATGTAGCATATTTTGTTTAGCTAGTTCTCAGTTGATAGATATCTACTATGTTTTCAATTCCTTGCTCCCACAAAAAAAGTGTTACTATAAATATTTGATGTATGTAATGATTTACTTCTTATCAATTATATCTTTATTGTATATGTCTAGCACTGAAATCTCTATTCCAAAATGTGTGAACTTTTAGTTACTTTATTTGCATAATTCCAAGTTGCTTTCCAAAATGGATATACTGACACCATTCACTGGCAACATTTTTGCTGTTTCAATTCCAAAACAGTTTATTTGTTGAATAATCAAGGATATTTTTAAGTCTGAATTTTTATTATATGATTTTGTCACTTTTTGACTTCTAAAGAAAACATCTTCTGTATAATTCTAGCTATTCTATTATTATTGTTGCTATTATTCTAAATTCTGTTGTGATAAGCCTATCATGAACCCTGACATAATTTCTAACTTTTAAAAAATACTTATAGATGCTATTCCTGACCAATCTGTGTCTTCAGGAATATAAGGAAACAAGAGCACAATTTTGGTTTAAAAATCAACAGATATGTCGTAGTTTCCAGGAGAACCTTACACATTCTAGATATATATGTCTACTGTACCTAACTTTGAATAGAAATAAAGAATTTTTATAGGCTAGCCATTAGTTAAATGAATATTTATTTGATTATTTTTCTATCACCTTTTAAAACTATTTATAATTATTAAAATAAACAAACCTGGGTTGCTTTTATGAGAAAATATAAATGGATCATTCACTATACATATCTATGGAAGCAATACCCACATCAATAAGATCATAAATTAATTATTTAGTCATATATTAATTTTAAGTACTGAAATGTTAAAGAACACATGATAAAATCTATACTTCGTTTCTTTATTCATACAACAACTTGTGGCATGTGCTTAGTGAGGAACTCATAGGTGTGTGAAGTCTATTGGAAGGTTATATGATATGTAGCATCTTCTATTAGAAGATTATATCATATGTATGTCATATCTTTCATTTTCTTCTATAAGCATGCTATTGTTAGCAATCATTCTACAATTCAGAATATAGAAGATCCCTTTGTTTAAGGACTTTTAGCTGCTCATTCTCACTGATATATCATTAGGGCATGCCCAGCAGTGTAGAACAGAGTTGT